GTTTCGTATATTTTGTCCACATCATACTTGGAAGTTCATTTTTGCGTGATTAGTAACAAATTGCAATCTGTATGTATGTAAAATGATTCGATAAAGCGTCTTAAGATTATGGGGCGTGTAACCAGGCACGAATGGAATTGGGACACTCAACACGTGTTCCAATAAAAACACTCTGATAGTTTCCAATAAAAACACTTAGAAGTCACTGAAATGTCAATGCAACTATAATATAATAATGCGGTCATCTGTCACCATGTACACAATAAGGACGTTATATTATAATATACGTGTAACAATATTATTTCATATCACTTATGTAGGTGCATTCCCACTTTGCGGATATGTAAGGTACCATCTTACATCGTGAGCTGGGATTAGACCGTCGTGAGACAGGTTAGTTTTACCCTACTAAAAGATAAACAACGCTTGGCGAATTCTGCTTCGCAATGATAGGAAGAGCCGACATCGAAGGATCAAAAAGCGACGTCGCTATACTAGAATACAGCATCACATTTTGAAATGGTGGATGAGTGATGATAAATTGACTATAGAATATAAATTTAAGCGATTTGCTAAATTCCTAAATTGTCTAAGAAATAATACCTTCCAGTATTCCAGTGTGGGCAGGCTAGCCACGTCATCATTTTTTTTAATTTTTTATGTCATACCTTATGCTGGAAGCGATGTTCGTCATACTTGAAAAGTGTGAATGCAACTTTTATGATATACTGTGTGATTATAATATTTGGTAATGAACTTGTGTCATTTGTCTAGTTCATATCCCCGTCTCCTTTGGCCCATGTCGAAGGTGTATGTGACCAATGAAACAAACATAGGATGCCTAAATAAGTCTGTCAACATTCATGTTGACAGGATGCACGGCACGTACCCGGATGCCATATATCCGTATATTGTCCCTATCAAGGCCACGACCTTATTTAATACTTGGGATTTCATTTTGCCGTGATTACAGGGGATTTGTAACGATACATGTTTAAGTGAAATTTAATCTCCATATAAAAAAGCTTCGATAAACCGTTTTAAGATAAAGGGTGTGTGTTACCTGGCACTCATGGAATTAGTCAGCTAAACTACTGATAGTCTGAAAACGGTAAACCATCAAAAACAATTGTAATCACGGCGGGCGGTCATAGGTCATACCGGCCCCTATGCACTATAAGAACTTTATGTGACACTATTTAACATCATGATCGTCAAGCAGGCGGGGTCAAACAATTGCAATATTTCTTCAATATTCCAAATAGTTATTCCTCACTTTACATACATCTTAAAAGTCATACACGTGATTCGTCACTAGATGGTGATTGGTCCAACAATAAAACCATACAAGGAGAGGTTTACAGTTGATGTAGCACAGGGCGGGAAGGAAAATATACGGGTCTCATCCCAAACGCCCTCTGTAGTTTATGTTTCTATCCCACAGTCCTTCGCAAAATCCAATATTGAGTTAACACATTTCTTCCCTATATGAACGGGGCATTACCGTGGTCAGAGCATGGATCAACACGTCCAGGCAGATTCATTACACAGAACGGAAGCAAATGCAATCCCAGCATAATCACTATTCCAATTACCATGGCAACATAGACCAGTGTAACAGTGAGCGCGAGGACGGGCGAGAATGTAACGCTATTTGAGGAGCAAAAGCAAGTCTTGTGGCCTTCTCGCTTCCAACGAGATCTCGGCGGTCATTTTTGTCGAAAGACTAACTGTTGTGGTAATTTATCCCACTGCCAAATACCACAAATACACTAAACTCGAATAAAAATGTTGAATGAATGAAAATTTGCATTCAGATATTCAGACACGTGATATTCGATTTTAAATCGATTTTCTTTTTCATTTACCGGGCGGTCGCTCCATTTAACCACGTGGTGAGTATTAGAACCGTATTCGTAGTTTTTTCTCTTTCACGCATTTTTTCTGCACACTGTCTTACTTATCGCCGTCGTACCAATACTTGAACTAAACATACTAAAACACGTGTCGTACATCCCACGGCACACACCGTTATATGTATCGTGTGCGACTTCAGGCTTCAAGCAAATACATCCATCACGACTTAGTCCCACTCTATATTGAACTGGCCATGAACATGATAGTGGTAAATATCAATCGTCGGAAAGTCCGTCAGGTCATTTTTTATTTCCAAAAAACGAATGAAGCATAAAAATGCACTTTTCGACAATTGTGCTTTATATTTGACAGTCAAGATCACCACTATAAAACTATGATTTATTGGGTAATATGACGTCATCTTGTAGGAAAGTATCTGCAATATTACACCTGTCGTAAAATTTTATATAATTTCCAGTAAAATTACTAATCAGGGTGGGTGTAGGATCAATTAGGGGACGCACTTTTTTTTTTACAATGACGACGTTGTTGCACTGCATTGTGGGGATGAACGTATACAAATAACGGCGGGTTTGTGAGCGCGTGCCTCTTGTGCCCTTCTAAATACGCTATTGCTATTGAGGCGTATTATTATTTCAGCAATGCCTGACCTATGTTGCCCAATACTGGCTTTTAAGACAATCGTGACATTGCACGACTCATCATTAAGAAAATTTCATTTGTTATTTATGTTTATTAATTTTGCAAACTTACTCGTCAGATAGCATGAAGTGCAACTATTATCAGCGAAGACGGAGTATTAAAGAAAATTATTTTACGCAAAATTACAGTAGATCTCAGACGCAAATGGACGCCGCCCCTTCCCCAAATGTGTGTTATTGTCTCAAATAGTGTGACGTCATCTTATCCTCGGCTCCTTTGACCTATGTCACTGTGGCGTGGAATTTGGAAGTATAGACGCGATAACTCGAGAGAATGGAACTTTGAATGAGGAAAAAAATTCTCCTGGCTGACTTGTCTTAGCGAGATATCTCGTCGACTATTTGCGTATCGTGTTCTGGTTATTATGTCACGGTTCTTACGTATTGTTTTTTTTAAGCAACTGGATGGACGTTAATAGTACACAGTAATCTCGATAGTTCAACAGTTTTAAACGAATATTGCAACAATAAACAAAAATACAAAACAAAATACTCAAACATATTCAGATTCATTTTGCCGCATAATGACTGCTGTACGACACGTCGTTACTCTAGTCATACTGTTGTTGAGTTCGATGTCACGATATCTGATACGTATTAATGGTTCGTCATTACCCGACCCCGAACATTCAGTTTATAGTAGACTACGTTTATAATTAACGCTATCTTCTTACTTTATACAATAATAACGGGTTGGACAGAGATCAATTGAGTTCCAGTTACTAGTGACAGGTGTTTTATTGCATATTAAAGATATCAGTATGTGTAAACACTCTATGGGTTATCATACATGACATAAATCATAAAATCAGTTTTTCAAAGTCATG